TCCATCGCCATTGTGTGCTCTCCCAAATACCAGGAGTGAGTATGGATGATTCCAGGAGTGAGGGTGGATGATTCCAGGAGTGAGGGTGGATGATTCCAGGAGTGAGGGTGGATGATTCCAGGAGTGAGGGTGGATGATTCCAGGAGTGTGGGCTGGGGAGGCGTTTCCCTCTGCCTGGGCTGTCAGCCACACCCTTCCCCTCTCAGATTCCTGGCCTGGGGATGGAATATGTGTGAGCTGTTTCCAGGGGCTGTGTTTGGGCAGAGCTTGCCCACCCCTGACAGCAGGTTCAGAGCTGGGGAGAGGAGTTTCCCAGGAATTGGGGTGTCCCTCAGCATCAATCTCTACTCCTGCTGGAGATGAATGGCCCCAAATGTGCCCCAGGGGATGTGGCTGGGCCTGCAGAGGCTCCGGCTACAGAGCTGCTGTTCCTCTGCTCCAGGACAGGGTTTTTCAAGCTGACAGAGCATGGCCTGGAGGAGATCTCATCCTGTCGGCAGAAGGGGTTCCACCCACACCCCAAAGACCCCCCTCTGTTCACGGTGAGTTCAGCGGGGGCTGTGGGGAGGGGAGTTGCTGTGTTGTGTGCTGAATTAAATCCACATTGAGGTGCTGGGTTGGGACCAGGAGGCTCAGCCTGGCAGGGGCTGCTCTCCAATTCCCAGAGTGGAGGTGCAGGACCTTCCCGAGGTTTTCCAGCCATTGGAGATGGGATGCAGAGCTCCTGGCTGTGCAGCCCAGGGCTGTTTGAGGGGGGATTTGTGTTTGGGACCTGTCATGGTTGCTGTGAGGCACTGGGCAGGGCCAGCAGTGGGGGTGATCCAAGGAGCTGCATCCAAGGGCTGTTCTGGGAAAGCACTGGCTGCAGATTGTGTCAAGAGGTGGAGGAGGCTCACCTGAGCTGTGGGAACATCTGAATAACCCCGTCCCCTGTTCTTCTCTCTTCCAGACCTGCAATCACGTGTCAATAGTGGAGAGAGACGTGGTGCTGATGGACCTTCGATAAGACTCTTGCCTTGTCCCTTCACAGGAACCACCCACCTTCCTTTAGGCCTAGGGAATCGGTTTTGTTCTCCTGTAGCAGATGATTTCTACCATGTAGTGATCCCTCCCCTCCCTCCCACTCTGTGGTGGAATCAGATCCCTGCCCTCTTCAGGAGCCCCTGAACCTCAGTGCCTGGTGTGGGGCTGGAAGGGGCTCCACGTGTGGGGAGAAGCCAGCTGGGAGCTCAGAGACAGAAGCCAACACTAAAGCAGTTGTTTAATCCAAGCCTTGAATGGCCTCCTGGGGAGGTTCCCTGTGACTTGCTGCAACCCTGAGGTGTGGAAACCTCTCCAAGTGCTTTTGGGACTTGCCCAGTTTAACCCAGGCCCTGTTTTGTCCCTCGTTCTGGGCTGCTCCATCTCATCACAGCTTCCAGGAGCACATAAATCTTTGCTATGGTTTAAAATCAAACTTGCTGACCCCTCTGACCCCCACAGGAGCTCAGTGCTGCTTCCTGGCACTGGTGTGTCTGCCCGGGAAGGGAAAAGGGCCCAACCTCCTTTGGGATCCCTCTTTCAGCATTTCAGGGCTGAAGATCCCTGGATGTGGCCCTGCTTTACATCCCAGCAGCATTTAGGGATTTCTGGGCACTTCATCCCTTTTCCTGGCCGGGGGATGTCCTGGTGTTACCGTGGAGGAGCTCGGTCTCCTGGCTGCCATTGCCACGCCAAGATGGGATTTCCAGCGGCTTTGACCATTTCCATTCCACTCCAAGATGGGATTTCCAGCAGCTTTGACCACTTCCATGCTCCCAGATCCCTGATTGTCTCTGCACATCCCAGAGCAGCTGGAAGCCTGTCCTTGCCAAATCCCAGCACTCCATGACGTCGCTGTTGTGTGGGGACCCTCCTCGAGGTGCTTTAGTCGGGTGCCAAGCCGAGATTTTCCTTCCCCGTGCTCCAGGCCCTCGGTGGGGGGGGAGAGGGAAGCAGCACATTCCAAGGTGGGAGGCAGCTGGGCCGTGCTGCACATCCCCAAATGCCGCCGCGGGCTGGGATGGTCGGCACATGGCCGTGCGGGAGGGGCAGGGCCCGAGCTGCCTTCCCACCTGGCATGCAAACATCGCCGTGCTCGTGTCGTGTGCTTGAACAGCCAGCACCCTGTGCCTTTCACACATGGATGGGATTATCCGGGCCCGGCCTCCTGTGCCACTCCTTTGCTTTGAGCTCTCTCCGTGGGTGGGGTCTGCCTCGGCGGGGTGAGGGGCATTCGTTTCTTTGGCGGTTTGCGTGACAAGTGCTGCTCCCAGCTTTTCATTTTTGGGAACAGGCTGGCCCCGGGGGTGGGAGGGGAATGAGGAGCCTTCGGGGCATCTCTGGGAACTCGCTTTCAGCCCTAATTAATTTAAGCCATGCTCGGGAGGGGGGTGCAGTTTCCATGTTGGATTGTTCATCCCTCAGCTCTGCACAGCTCCTCACCCCGAGGGCTCCCCTGGAGCAGCATGGGGACACAGAGTGGAAAATCACGTCTTGTAAAGCAGCATTTCCTTCAGATCTGTGGGGAATATCCCAAGGGATTCATCCCAGCTCCACTTCCCAGCAGGTCTCAGGTGTGAGCTGGCTCCAGGAGAGGAGCTGGTGGTACATCACCACTTTGGTGTTGTCCCAGTGAACTGATAAACCTTCCCCAGGGAATTTTCCACCTTCTTTGGAGCAGGGAGCTCCTCAGATCAGGGCCCAGCTGCCATCTCCCTCCCAGCTCTGCTCTCTGAGCTCCAGCTTTTTTTCATCCCATTTTTTCACCCCAAGTGCCTGGGTTCCTCACTTTGTGTGTCAGTGAATGTCAAGATCCTGGCACTGCTGCTATGTCCCACGGACTCACCCTGGCTCTCCAGCTGTGCCAGATGTGACTGTCACACCTTAAAACCACCCAAAATTGGGTTGGATTTGGGAGGAGCTGAACCCGAGCATACACTACACAGGCAGGAATGATTTATTGGCTGGAACAATGTGGGCCGTGTGTTTTTCAGAGGGTTCCCGCAGGCAGAGAGCGATGCTTATCTCCACCTCAGCAAAGGGAATGGATCCAAATCTCTCTTTTCACGCGTTTGCCCATCCCCAGCAGCATCCCGAGAGCTTCCAGGCCTGAACATTCCCCCTCGGAGGGAGGTGCCGAGGGCTGGGCCGGCGCCGGGAGTTTTGAAATGCAGCGGCCAAGCAGGGCTCGCCCCCTGCTCGTCCCACGCCTCGCCCGTGCCGTGGGATGCCTGGCGTTCCTGCGAGCATCCCGGGCCCGCCGGCGGCTGGATTGGCTGCGGGGGCCAAACCTTTCCTTTTTAGGCTGCTTCAGCGTGGGCTCCCGCTCGGGGCTGCGCTGCTGCCGGCCCTGCTCCAGCCCTGCCGGGCCGGGATGCTCGGGGATCCCCCAGGGATGGGGGCACCCCGGGCTGCTCTGTCCCAGCAAGAGGGATGAGTCTGGAGCTGCTGAGGGGGTGCTGGGGTTGCTGGGACCAGCCCAGGGGTCAGGGATGTCTCCGGGGTTTGGGAATGTCTCCCTGCCTGGGTTGGGATGGGATCCTGCCACCAACAGCCATGCTGCCTCCACATGGGGCTCTCCAGCTCCAGCAACCCCCTTTTCCCACCCCCACTCCGCTGGATTTGGGGAATAATTTATTTTAAAGGTTTGGGAGTTTTTTGGGCTTTTTTGCCTTTTTGTTTTTTTTTTTTTTTATGTGTCATATATGGCAGCCTTTCCCCTTGGTGACCTCATGTTTGGCAGGGACCCAGCCAGCCTGGGGTGTGGGGTGGCAGTAGGACCCCGGGGCTGGGGGCATGGGGGGGACACCAAAGGCAGGGCCAGGGGCCAAATCCAGCCCCTGTGAGCTGGGAAAGAGAAAGGGAACAGCCTGGCAGAGCCATCTCTGGGGGACTAAGGAGCTGTGAATGGACTGGCAGTGTTGGGGACATGCCATGGCTCTGTCCTGCCCCATGGGTGACAGCCCAGATAGGACAGAGCGAGCCCTGGGGGACACTGGAGTTGTGAATGGACTGGCAGTGCTGGGGGGACACCGTGTCCCTGTCCTGCTCTGGGTGGCAACCCAGAGCCCGTTCCCTCCCTCTGGAACCATGGGGGACACCAGGACCTTTGGGTCCCTTGCTTGTGGTGGTACCTTGCAGCTCCTTGTCACTGGGATGTCCCTGCCCCGGGCACAGCTCGAGCTCAGCCTGGGCCCCCAGTGCCCCAGTTTCCCTCGAGCCCTTCCAGCTCCGGGGGGTGACTCCAGGGCATTTCTGCTGTCTCCCCCGGGTGCTCTGGGAGACTCCCTGGTGAGGGCCCATTGTCCTTAAAAAGGCAGCCAGGAGTTTGGGAGCTGCTGGTTGGCCTCTGCCAGGGCCAGGGGCCTCTGCAGCTCCGTTCTCACTGCCAAGGCTCGGCCACAGGGCTGGGGGTGGCCCCGGCCCCCCTCGGGCGGTGCTGGGGACAGCACCCACCCTGTCCCATAAGGGCTCATCCTGCCTCCAAAATCCTGCCAGGAGGAATCAGAACTAGGCTCACCCTCAGTGCGGGGTCGGGATTTGTACCCACAACCCCTGGCCTGGCTCAGGCCCAGGATTTGGGGCACGAGGGGCTTTGGGATACCAAAAGCCCAAAAATGGGGGCGGAGAGAGAAAACCGCAGGGAGAGGCATCGCAGGAGTGCTGGATGCCGAGGATGCGGGGGGAGCCGAGGCCGGGAGGAGGCGATGGATGCTCCAACCCCGCGCGGCTCCGGCATCTCAGACACGCCAAATTCCCCTCCCGGCTCCGGGGTGTCCCCACGGCAGGGCCCCAACACCCACCTCCACCCCGTGGGGTTTCTCCACGGGCTCCCCAGGAACTGGAGTCACTTCCACCTCCTTTTTCCCAGCCCGTTGCTTATAAGGATTTGTGTTTCACTTGTTTATCAGAGCGGAGCATAAAAGGAACAGACTCACAACTGGGCCGTTGCCTCCCAAGCATCCTACCATACATTTTCCTACAATAATTAACTGCTGGGTCCTACCACCAGCCCAAGGTCAATTTAATGAAATAAAACACCTTATATGGCCATATGGCCAACACACCATCACTGAGCCTATTTAGGGTCTTTGTTTAGAGTGGATCCGCCTCTGAGGTTCCTCGGGCTCGCTGGTATTTATACCCACGGCACATCGGGGCTCGGTCCCAGAGGAAAGGAGCTCTCGCCTCTGTGGTGAGTACTGCCCTGCCCAACCCTGCTTCCCTTCTTCCTTGGAGGAGAGCAGGCAGCAAAAGCACCCCGGGGGGTTTTTGGGGTGCCCAGTATTTTTGGGGTGGCCCCAGATTGGTTAGCATTGCCAGCCTCTGCACGACCCCACAGCTGGGGCCTCGCTGGAGGTGACAAGTGCTGGGCTGAGGCCAAAGCAGGTTGTGCTCTTGCAGAAATCCCTATGATTTGGGGGTTTAGGGGGGTTTTTGGTTTGTTTTGCTTTTTGGGCTCCTGCAAGGTTTTGCCTGTTTCCCTCTGGATTTGGGAGTTCATCCTCTGGCCCAGGGGGCACACCCTGGGAAGGGCGATTCTTTTCCCCCTCCCCGTTTTTGGGAGTCGATGCGAGGTCAGAGCAGCAAAAGTTGCTGAGACAGAAGCGGATGAGAGGGCATCACCTGGCACCTCCCTGCCCGCTTTTGGGGGGCACCAGCTGGGTATGACAGCACCGGAGCTCCCTGAGGAGGAGGAGCAGGGGCCTTTGGCACCGATTTTGGCTGGAGAAGGATGGAGGAGCAGCAGTAGCATGGAGCAGCACCCACGGGGAACGAGCATCACCCCCCTGCGGGGTCAGGCTATCCCTGGGCACGGCCCACGGAGGATTTTGCCCATTCCCGAGGACTCCAACACTTCCAACCCCAAAGCCGGACACGGTAGCGCAGGATGAGCCCTCGTCCTCCCCTGGCTGCTCTTTAACACCGCTTTCCCCCCGGCCAGCTTCTCCCCCAGGTCCCCCTGAGCAAAGCGCTGCCAGCCCCACCATGTGCGAGGAGGAAACCACTGCCCTGGTGTGCGACAACGGCTCCGGCCTCTGCAAGGCCGGCTTTGCCGGAGACGATGCCCCTCGTGCCGTCTTCCCCTCCATCGTGGGGCGGCCCCGGCACCAGGTGGGTACCCAGGGGGGCCCGGGGCAGCCCCTGCCCCGCTCTGATCACCAGGACGTGGCTAACGAGGCCTCTCTCGCTGTTAGGGTGTCATGGTGGGCATGGGGCAGAAGGACAGCTACGTGGGCGACGAGGCGCAGAGCAAGAGGGGCATCCTCACGCTCAAGTACCCCATCGAGCACGGCATTATCACCAACTGGGATGACATGGAGAAGGTGAGACCCTGCCGGGGCAGGGAGCGGGCGTCAGCCCTGCCTTCGGTGCGGGGTGAGACGCCAATTCTTTGCCCGCCTTAGATCTGGCACCACTCCTTCTACAACGAGCTGCGTGTGGCCCCTGAGGAGCACCCGACCCTGCTCACCGAGGCACCCCTCAACCCCAAGGCCAACCGGGAGAAGATGACCCAGGTACGGCACTGCAGGACCCTTGCGGATGGGGCTGGACCCTCCAAAACCAGAGGGAGGGCTGTGGGATTTGGGGGTTTTGTGGGGTGGGTGAGTGCGGGGTGGGGTGCAGGGTAAGGGCAAAGATCCCGATGGGAAGTTCCTGTGCCTGATGTCCCCAGGGGTCTCTGGCAACACATGGACCTGTGGGATTTGCCCCACCATGGTGTGCACAGCCCTATGTGGCTCTGTGCACTGCAGTGACCCCTTGGCACTTCTGTGTCACCCTTTGACCCACGTTTTCCACACTGTGCACGGCCCCACGTGGCTCTGTGCACAGCTGTGGCTCACATTTCCGTGCCATCCCTTGACCCTCATTTCCCCACAACCCACGTGTTTCCCAGAGCGATCAGCGGTCCCTGTCCTCCTCCGTGCCAGGCACTGCCCTGCGTGTCCCTGCAGTGCCACCACCCCCCAGTTTCTGCATGCACCGCAACTATCTGTGTGTTTTTCTATGCAGTGCCCTGACCCCAGGAGGGCACAGCCCCCAGGGGTTGGGGTGGGGTGTGCTGGTGACCTCCATGCCCACCCCTAACCCCCTGCCCCTCTGCTTTGCCCTCCCAGATCATGTTTGAAACCTTCAATGTCCCTGCCATGTACGTCGCCATCCAAGCCGTGCTCTCCCTCTATGCCTCCGGCCGCACCACCGGTGAGTAGGGGACCGTGGGTGACAGGGACCAGGCCAGCCTGGAGTGTCCCCCTCACCTTCCCCCTGTCCCAGGCATCGTCCTGGACTCCGGGGATGGCGTCACCCACAACGTGCCCATCTACGAGGGCTACGCCCTGCCCCACGCCATCATGCGTCTGGACCTGGCCGGCCGCGACCTCACCGACTACCTCATGAAGATCCTCACCGAGAGGGGCTATTCCTTCGTCACCACCGGTACGGGGCCGGGGCGGGGGGCTGGGGGACGGGGACCCCACAGTGCCACCGTGCTGCCACCAGGCTGAGCCTGTCCCACCATCGTGTCCTGCAGCCGAGCGGGAAATCGTGCGTGACATCAAGGAAAAGCTGTGCTACGTGGCCCTGGACTTTGAGAACGAGATGGCCACGGCCGCCTCCTCCTCCTCGCTGGAGAAGAGCTACGAGCTGCCCGACGGGCAGGTCATCACCATCGGCAACGAGCGCTTCCGCTGCCCCGAGACCCTGTTCCAGCCCTCCTTCATCGGTGAGCCCGCCCCCCAATGCCCCCAGACCCCGTTCCAGCCCTCCTTCATCACTGAGCCCACCCCCCAATGTCCCCAGACCCCGTTCCAGCCCTCCTTCATCACTGAACCCACCCCCAGTTATCCCTGGGAGTGGTTGCTCCATCCCCATCAGCGAGGAAACAAGAAATGGCCCTTTGGGATGAGCCATGTAGCAGCTCCCATGGGTGCCCCTCAGAGATGTTTTGGGACACCCCCCAGCCCTTTGCACTGCAAATAGTGGCACAGACTCCTGGGTGCCCCTGTGGCTTTTTTGGGGAGCCCGAGGAGTACAGGTGGGGGGAAGGGGGGTGACAGTCGCCTCCCACCCCAGGCATGGAATCCGCTGGGATCCACGAGACAACCTACAACTCCATCATGAAGTGCGACATCGACATCCGCAAGGACCTGTACGCCAACAACGTCCTGTCCGGGGGCACCACCATGTACCCGGGCATCGCCGACCGCATGCAGAAGGAGATCACTGCGCTGGCTCCCAGCACCATGAAGATCAAAGTAGGTGCTGGGTGACCAAACCGTGGCCACAGCACCCCAGACCCTGTCCCGGTGTGGGTTTGGGGTTTGGTCCTACAGGCTCTGTCTCCGCAGATCATCGCCCCGCCGGAGCGCAAGTACTCGGTGTGGATCGGCGGCTCCATCCTGGCGTCCCTCTCCACCTTCCAGCAGATGTGGATCAGCAAACCCGAGTACGACGAGGCCGGACCCTCCATCGTCCACCGAAAATGCTTCTAAGCCCCCTCCCCACCCTGTGGGGGACCCCCGAGCCCAGGCTGGGGTGTCCCGCTCCTCCTCGGACCCTGCCGCTCCTCCCCACCGCCCACTGCGCATTAAAAAACCTTTTCTCCAGGCTCTGCACCTTTCTGGGAGATCTGGGGCTGGGAGGGGTTGGGGGGCACTCACGGTCAGGGGGCAGGGTGTGTTGGGGGAGCCCTGACTTCACATTGGTGCCCATGTCCTGCTGACAGCCTTGACTATGCCTTGATGCCCCCAACCCCACGGCAATGCCCTCCACCCCATGTCAGTGCCCCCAACCCCAAGGCAATGCCCTCCACCCCATGTCAGTGCCCCCAGTGCTGTGTTGGTGCCCCTGACCCTTTGCTGACCCCAGCCATAAACACCCTCAGCCTCACAATGGTGTCCCCAGCCCCACATTGGTGCCACCCTTGGGGGAAGCCTCTGTCCCCATTTCAGTGCCCCCAACTCTGAGCTGGTGACCCCAATCCCACACTGAGGACCCCAACCCCATGTTGATGTCTTTGGCCCAAGGACATGCTGGTGACCCCAATGTTGTTTTGGTGACCCTAGCTCTATGTTGCTGTCCTTACCCCCTTCCTGGGAACCCTAATCTTCTTTTAGTGACCCCAGTGTGGTTTTGGTGACCCCAACCCTATGTTACTGTCATTAGCCCTATCCTGGAGACCCCGATGTTGTTTTAGTTACCCCAATGTGGTTTTGGTGACCCTGTATGAGTCTGGTGACCCCAACTCCGTGTGGATGTCCTCAGCCCCATGCTGGTGATCCCAATGTTGTTCTGGCGACCCCGATCCCCCTTTTTGTGTCCCGCGCTCTCTCCCCTGCCCCCCCGCATTGCTGTGGACAGTGTCTCATTTGCATAAATTACAATATCGCCCCCAGCCCCCCCTCGTTCCGCCCCCCCGTTGTTTCCGTCCCCCGCCGACTTCCCGCGCGATGACGTCACGGGGCGGTGGCGCGCGGCGTCATTAGCATCTCATTAGCATATGACGTGGGAAGGCGGAAGCCGTGGCGGGATGGGGCGGTGCGGGGCCGCCCTGAGCCTGGCCCTAGAGGGAAACATCGGTACCGGGGGGACACGGGGGACAGAGGGGACGGCGGGGGGAGCGGGAGGATTTGGGGTGCGATGGGAGGGGGGCGGCGCAGGCCGGAGCATCCCGGGGTGCGAGTTAATGGCTGTAATTATCTTAATTGGCTCTGCTGTGGGGGACACCCCAAAACGCCGAGCTCCTGGGAGTTGGGAGGGGGGACACAAAGTTCCCCCCGGGTGAGAGACACCCAGGCTCACCCCACGTTCCCAGGAGCCGGCATGGGGGGGACACCCAAGCTCACCCCAGGTGCTCGGGGGTTGGATTGAGGTCACCCAAGCTCATCCGAGGTTCCCGGGGGTCGGACTGGGGTCACTCAGGCTAACCCCGCATTCCCCAGAGCCAGGAAGGCGGACCCCAATGCTTACCCCGTGTTCCCAGTAGCCACAATGGGGAAACCCCAGGCTCACTCCAATAGTTCTGAGATTTGGTGTGTGGGGACACCCAGACTCACCCCATGTTCCTGGGAGCCAGGGCAGGGGGACCCTAAGGCTCATCCCAGGTTCCCAGGGCCTGGAATGGGGGGGGACACATGCTTATCCCACATTCCTGGAATCAGGGATGGACACCCAGGCTCACCCCAGGATCCCGGGATTTGGAGCAGGGGGACACTGAGGCTTACCCTGTGTTCCTGGGGTGGGAGTGGGGGGACACCCAGGCTCACCCCACATCCCCAGCATCCAGGAAAGGGGGCACACCCAGGCTCACCCTGCTCTCTCTCTGCTCCCGCAGCCGTGGGGAAATCGACTTTCCTGAAGCTGCTGGGTGCCACCTTCCCGCGATGGCACCTGGTGACAGAGCCCGTGGCACAGTGGCGCAAGGTGCCAGCCACTGGCACTGCCCAGGTAACGGCAACTCCGGCCACCCCCCGGCTCTCCCAGTGCCACCCTGGGACCCCCTGATCCCCCACCATCCCTCTGCAGGCATCTGTGGGCTCTGCCAACCTGCTGCAGATGATGTACCAGGAGCCAGCCCGCTGGTCCTACACCTTCCAGACCTTCTCCTGCATCAGCCGCCTGAAGGCGATGCTGGAGCCGCCGGACGAGGGGCCCCCCGAGCCCCTCCACCCCGTGAGGGTCTTTGAGCGCTCTGTGTTCAGTGACAGGTACCCAGCACCCCAAAAAGAGAGATGAAGCAACTGGGAGTATCCACAGCAGCTGGGTTGTGATGTTGGGACCTCAGGATGAGCAGAGCCCGGAGCAATGCTTGATTACAGGAATGGGATTTTGGGGTAATTTAGGGGCTGCCCCATCCTCACCTGTGTCGGGTGGCAGCATGAAGCCCTTTGGGTGATGCCAGGCTCGGTGGGCATTGCACGTGCCCCAGATTAGGGATATTTGCCTTAAACTAACCCCCTGCAGTTCCTCATCAGTGCAAAAAAAAAGATGAAAAAAAAAAAAAGGCTGTGAAGCCACCTGGGCGTGGCAGGTGACAGAGCTGCCCGGTCCCCTCTTTCCCTCCCTTCCCAGGTACGTCTTTGCCAAGAACCTCTTTGAGGCTGGGCACCTGCAGCCCCTGGAATGGGCCATTTACCAGGACTGGCACGACTTCCTGCTGCGGCACCTGGGGCCCCGCACCGTCCCCCACGGCTTCCTGTACCTGCAGGCCAGGCCCCAGGTGTGTGCCGGGGGCAGGAGGCCTCCAGGTCCACCTCGATCCCGGCAGAATTGCCCAAATGTTGGGGTTTCACCATAAATCGCCGCCCTGGAAGAGCAGGGCCTGCTTCTCTTCCCGTGGGAATGTGGGAGGGAATTTTGCCGTGGATTCCAGGGCGGGTTTTGGGGAGAAGGGGCTGCAGCACCTCCTGGGTTTGTGCTTCCCACATTCCTTCTCTGCCACTGATCCCCCGTTTTCCTGCGTCCCCCTGTCCTCCCGTCTGTCCCATTGTCCTCCCGTCTGTCCCGCTGTCCTCCCGTCTGTCCCCCTGTGCCCCAAGACGTGCCTGGAGCGGCTGCGGCGGCGGGCGAGGCAGGAGGAGGGCGGGATCCAGCTCGGGTACCTGCAGCAGCTCCACGCCCAGCACGAGCAATGGCTGGTGGACAGGACCACGCAGTGAGTGCCAACCCGTGCCAGCTTTGGGGTGACCCCAAAAGGGTTTGGGGGGTGGTTGTTTGGGGGGTTTAATCCCTCCCTCCATGCCTGTGTCCCTCCTGCAGGATCCACTTTGCGGAGGCGCGGCGCGCGCCCGTCCTGGTGCTGGACGTGGACAAGGACTTCGAGCACGACGTGGCCATGCAGGGCGTCCTCATGGCACAGGTGAGGTGGCACAGCCTGGTGGCTTCCCGGTGCCATAGAGCCACGCTGGCTCCGAACCTCTGCCTCTACTCCGTTTTCCTTGGGAAAAATAACTTCCCTATCGTGGGTCTCAGGTGGTTGAAACCTCAGCTGTGCCAGGGCCATCCTGGTGCCACCCTTGCACAGTCCTGGTGCCACCCCAGTGCATTCCTGCGCCATCGCAGTGCCATTCCAGGGCCATCTCAGTGCATTCCTACACCATCGCAGCGCCAGTGCCGTGCCAGTGCCATCCCAGGGCTGTCCCAGTGCCAAGGCTATCCCAGGTCCATCCCAGTGCCATTCCGGGGCCATTCCAGTGCATTCCTACACCATCGCAGTGCCAGTGCCATTCCAGGGCTATCCCACTGCCAAGGCCATCCCAGTACCATCCTGGTGCCACCCCTGCACCATCCCCGTGCGTTCCCACACCATCTCAGTGCCATCCTGGTGCCACCCCAGTGCATTCCTACACCATCCCAGTGCCACCTCTGCACTGTCCCACTGCCATCCCAGTGCCACTTCTGCACCAACCCAGTGCTATCCCAGTTCCATCCCGGTGCCACCCCTTCAGCCAGGGTGTCCTTGCAGGTGGAGGGCTTCGTGACATCGCTGAGTGCTGACACTTTGCCGTCACATCCCGACCCTGTTGGAGCGGGGGAAGGGGCAGCGTCTGCCTGAAGATCCAAATCCAAGGACAAGGGACACGTACTGGTCCCCAACTGCCTCCTCAGCCCCTGTGCTGGGCCAGGGGTGGGTTTGAGGCGGATCCTCAGAGCGGTGTGAGGAGTTTTGGGGGGCTCCCCGTGCTCAGGGGACCAGGTCCTTGCTGTCACCCCCTCCCCATCTTTAGGGATCCCCAGCTAGGAAGGGTCCCTGAGGTGGATTTCATGCACTGCTTGAATTCCCATGGGAAATCCCGGTGTTTAGGGGACACCCAACCCCCGTATTTAGTTATTTTGTATCTCTTTTTTTCCCCTTAAATCAATATCAAGTCTCTGAGGAGCTGCTCCGTGTCTCGAATCAGGGCTGTGGAGGGTCGGGGCGGCTCTAGGGGGGACATGAGGGGACAGTATTCATTATTCCCCCAGTTTTGGGGTGTCGTGATGGGGGAGGGGATAGTGCCCTGGGGCTCTGTCAGGATTTGCGGGAAAACCAAGGGGATTTGGCACCGAAAAGGGGAGTGGGGGAGTGAGACTCTACAGAAACACTGGTGGGGCAGCTGCCCCACAGGAAGCGGGGGGCAGGATTGGGGTGGGGATTTTGGAGGCTGTGGGGTGGGATATGGGGCAGGGAATGGGGAAACCTGGGGTAGGGTAGGGGGGATCTGAGGGGCTGTGGAGCAGGATATGCTCGGGGGGGTCCCCCTGGGATTTTCTCCGGACACCCTACAATAACACAGAGCGAGACCCCGCTAACGACCCTACCAAAACAACAACAGAGGAGTTACAGCTGACAGCCCTACAAAACCAACAGGGTGGTGCAACCCCCCCGTCCCCACCCTCGACAATCCTATAAAAACAACCCCGCTCACCCCCGCACCCAGCCACCCTACAACAACAACCCCACAGCAAAACCCCCGCGCACAACTCCCACCCCTCTTCTCCCCGCGCCCCCTCCCCGATACCCTTGAGGCTCCGGGTGCCCCCGAGCGCGGGACCGGAGCCCCCCGGCCGCCCGGCGGGTCCCCCCGAGCGGGCGCTGCAGAACAAAGGAAGCAGCAGAGCAGGAGCGGCGGCGGCAGCAGCGTGCGGCAGCTCCGCGGGTCCCCTCGGGTGCCGGCGACATCCCGAGCCGCCCGCCAGCCCCTCCGGGGTCCCCGCCATCCCCCGGGCCGGGAGTGCGCTCAGCCCCGTCCGAGCCCCCGCACCCCCCGTTCCCAAGGAAGGGGGCCGAACCCCCTTTTTTTTTTTTCCGGTAAACGCTCTTTTCTATCTAAATTTGGGGAGGGGGGGAGGTGGAAAGTTGCCGGTGCGCGGCTGAAGTTGCGAAGTTGTGCCGAAGCCGCAAGGGTTTGAGGGGGGATTAAAGAAAAAAAAAAAGAAGAAGAAAGAAAGGAAAATGGGGTTGGAAGAAATAAAGGGTGGGATTAAAAGCGGGGAGGCAGCACCCCGGTTTTGGGGGGGCTCGGGGGAAGGAAGGGTGGGGAGTCAGCGGGGCCGCCCCCCCTCCCCCCGGGGTGGAATCGGCCTGGAAATTAAAAGTCGGGGTGACTCGCGGCTTCGCTCGGCTCTGTCCCCGCAGAACTCGGCGGTGTCCCCAGGGCGGGGGACACGGTGACCCTGGGATGTCCCTGTGGCCGGGCAGGGGGCTCCGCCAGCCCGGGCCAGCCGCCCCCTCGGCGGGGGGGAGCCCCGAAATCTAACGCTGGCCCCGGGATGGAGATGGAGAGGCACGAGGGGCTCCACAGGGAGGTGAGCGATCCCCGGCTCCCCCAACCCATCCGTCCCCCCTCTCATCCCCACACCTCCACCTTTTCGGGGTGGTTTGTGGCCCCTTTGTAACGTCACCGTGACTTGGAGGGGGCTCGTCGGGGTGGGCAGGGAAAGCCCCTCCTCGGTTGCTGGATGGGTTTGTTTTTTTTTAAGGGTATTTCCGTGGGAAATGGGACTTTCTGCAGCTTTAAAGGCCTCTTTGATGCCTTAAGCCCACACTCCCCAAAAAAAATTTCAGCTCGTCCCTGGGGCATCCCCAAAACAGCGCCGCGGGACGGGTGGAACAAAACCCACCTTTAAACCGAATTCCTTGAAAATTCTTGGTGTGAAAGCAAAACGCTGCACGAAACCCACCCGGGTGCCGTCAGAGGGGAAAGGGGGTCCCCAAAAAGAAGGGGGTGGCAAGAGAAGGGGAAGGCAGAGCCGTGCCCGGGGGGAGCATCTCGGAGCTAACAAGTTGCGGCATTTTCTTCACCCAAAAAATTCCAACGCCTTCCTTCGGTACTTCTGGTTTTACCGGCCGGGGTGGTTGTAACCGGGATCTCGCATTTTGTGCCCACGCAAGAGCCAGGGAAAAAGGGAAAAAGGGGCTGGGGGGGGCCGCTCCAGCTGGGGGGTCTCCATCGTGGGAGGGAGAAACATCTGCTTGGCGTTGATTTTTGGTGCTTTCCCCCCCGCCAGGAAAAAAAAAAAAATTGGCTCTGCTTTTTTTTTTTTTTTTTTTTTTTTTTTTTTTTTTTTTTTGTGGTATCGGGAGGTGAGCGACTGCCCTGCGGCTCTGAGTTGTACCCAGCTGTTTTTTCCCTTGAAATACGGGAAGGGTGGGATGGGTTGTGGGGACGTTGGCACAGGTGGCTTGGCGAGGCAGGAGGACTTTGCCCTTGGCACAACGCCGGTGAAAACCGAGAACTGGAGGCAAAGGGTTTGTCCCCGGCGCTTTTCCAGGCAGGATATGGGGGGAACGATGATTCTTTTATTTTATTTTATTTTATTTTTTTTTAACTATTAGGATGCTGCTGGGGGCAGGGCGGGCAGCGAGCGCGGGGATCCCGCAGCAGCCGGGGCTGGTGCCGGTGGCCGGGCCGGGGTGTGCCGCAATTCCCACGTCCCGGCGTCTCTCCCGGGGTGCTTTGGCAGCCGGAGCCGGCCGGGCAGCCAGCACCAGTTCCACCAGTTCCTCCAGCCCGGCCCAGCCCGGGAGAGCCGTCTCTGCCCTCGTAGCTCTGCCTGGAGCTCCTGCTCTCCCCTTGGGGGCTGATTTCCTGCTGTGTCCCCAACCGTGAGGGTTTGGAGAGGAGGACGAGGAGGAGGAAGATGGCAGAGGTCAAGGTTTAGCTCTGCTCCCATGGCGCGGCTCTGTCAGACCCTCTCCTGCCTTCCCAGGTGGCTCTGGGTGTCTTTCCCGCTCATTTGCATAACTAATCAACGTCTTGGGCAGCCGCTCATTAGCGCGGAACACGCCAGTGTCCGCTCCAACCGAGGGAAGGATGCTCTGAGCTGTCCCGCTCAGCTTCGGCGAGCAAGCCCTGAATGAACCCCATAGAAAACCCCGTTCCCAGCAGGAATGGGCACACCAGGCCCCCAAAACCGCTTTGGTTTTGTGGTTTTGGGACGTGGCGCTGCTCAAGGTGTCCCTGGAGAATTCCCGGCGCTCGAAAATTCCCGTTCATCCTCGAAATGAGAGCCCCTAACTGAATTTGGCAGCCAGGCTCTGGGCCGAGCGCCGGCGATTAGGGATAATCTCATTTAAAGCATTACTAATAAAAGTTACTAAATTTGTCCATCTCCGAGGCTTTCCCTGGAGGATTGAGGTGGGGGTTTTTTTTTTATTTTTTTTTTTTTCCTGCGAGCGTGAAATCGCCCCAAAACGTGTCCAGCATCTCCAAAACCAGCATGGGGCTGATGGATGGGGTGAAGGACAGGCTGGGCTTTGGCTCGTTTTCATTCGGCACATGCCGGTGTCACCTGCAGGAGTCACCGCCTGCTGGGGGCTGTCCCCGGGTAATCCGGGGGGATTCTCACCGTGTCCGTGCCTGGAAAATGGAAATATTTCCAGGCCGGGCTGTGATGTGAGCAGCTCAAAGGGCTCGGGAGCGAATCCGATGGATGCTAGAGCGGAGGAGGAGGACGGGAGGGAAGAGGCGTCTGTCGGAATTAAATCCGCACCGTGCTTTTTGCACCGAGTTCTTGCCTGGCAGAGCCGAGCCGGGCCGGGCAAAAGGGGTTTGCAACCCGGGGTGCTGCAGCGCGAGGGTGGAAATTTGGGAAAAAAACAGTTCCTGGCACCAGTTGATCCCATTTATTCCCGTGGGAGTCGCAGTGCTTGGAGCAAAGGTCGGGTCCAGACGGGCTCTTGGCTCACGCGTGGCCTTTTCGGGGAAGAAGAAGGAAATGTTGTTCCAGGGAATGTTGCAGGGATGACGATGTCAGGTCTGTGCTTGCCCTTCCACCTGGACTCGGGTTTATCCAACCTAGTGGGCATTTTATGGGTCCTCAGATCCCAGTGGAAAGCAGTTTTCCAGGGAAACCTTTGGAAATGTTGAGTTTGTAGCCGTTTTGCTGGTGATTTAACCGAGAAATCAGCTTGGAAATCAGCTTGCTCTTCCAGGAGCATCACCTCCAAGTCCGGATGGAGAAGTTTCGGGGGGAATTCGCTCTCCTTGCTCCCCTTCTTCCCTTCTCTCTTTCTCCTCCTCTACCTGAAATACTTCGTGCATCACAGGGGGACCTGCCAGCTCCAACAGGGTTTGGAAAAGCTTGGGCTGAATCCCACCAGGACTTTTTCAAGGATCCAGCCTCACCTTAACCCTTTTGCCATCTAATTCCCATGGGACAGCGCCCGCAATTCCCCCCTTTCTTCAACAGGGCCTGGATTTTGGAGAAGAAGGGGCAATAGGTCAACGTGCATGTTTTTGGAGGAGGATTTAAATGTTTCAAAGGTCTGATGTCCCCAGATTAATCCAGGGACCCGAATTAGTGATGTCCCCAAATTAATGGTGTGTCGCCAAGTTGATGAGGGCCCCAAATGATAAATGTTCCGAAATGGACCCAACCAAATTAATGGACAAACATTAAAAAGGCTGCCAGGGGTTTAATGGCAGGAAAAAAATGGAGGGAGGGGTGTAAAGAGCGTTTTGGGAGCTCCTCCGGCTGCTCTCGGGGTTTGTGGCTGCTCCCACCCCTCGTGTGGGCTGGTGCCTTAGTGCCCTGAGGGGACAATGACAAAATGACCAGGGTTTGGGGGTCCTGTGACCCCATTTTGGGGTTTAGGAGTCGCACGTGTGTATCCCTGTCCATGTCCCCCTTGTGTGCCCTCTGTGCCCCACCTGCACCCCCTTCGTGTCCCCTCATGTCCCCACATCCTCGTGTCCCTGCTGTGTCCTCCTCTTTCCCCCTTCAGTGTCCCCCACGTTTCCCCCATTGTCCCCTCTCCTGTGTCCCCCCAGTGTCCCCCGTGTTTCTCCCCGGATCCCCCCAGTGTCTCCCTGTGTCCCTCCCCTCTCGTGTCCCCTCTGTGTCCCCCCATGTCCCCGGGGTCCTTCGGTTGCTCCCACCGCCCGCGGGTCGATGCCTCAGTTTCCCGGGGTCACAGTCCCGCAGTGCCCGGCTTTGGGGGTCCCCTCTCCCCGTGTTTTGCGG